TTTAAATATAAAGTGGGGGGAGTAATTATTTTTTCTTTGTGTAATTTTAAAGTAATTTTAAAGAAAAAAAATAGGCTACAACCAAAAAGGTATTTTATCTTTATATTATATATATATATATATATATATATATATATATATATATATATATATATATATATATATATATATATATATATATATATATATATATATATATATATATATATATATATATATATATATATATATATATATATATATAGATTATAGAATTATAGATAATAGAATATTTAAAATTTGAAGTATATCATAAAATAAATATATTTTAAAAGGTTTTGGCTGGTGGTGTTATCTTTAACTAACCAATTTTGCAGGGATTTAATATTTCAAATTTTTAGTTCTAACACTTTTTAGTGTTAATTCTAACACTTTTTTTAGTGTTTTTCCATGTTCTTCTCTGATCTTCTATTATGGTAATTTGTATTTAAATGTTTATATTCCTCAGTACGACTACAAGGTAGCTTAAACAAATAAATTTTGGTTATGACATTCTTATTTTCCCTTTATAAGGATTCACAACATTACAATTTTGTTGTTGTATTGTGATTTGAGACGTTTTTCTTATGATAACTATTTTTGTTTCTTCCTTTAGTTGTTGTATTGTGATTTGAGACGTTTGGTTAAATTCTTGAGCAACAAATACGAGGGTCGTGGACGCAGGGATGTGCAATGTAGCATGGAAAGAAAGAGTTGATGGATGGAAGATGAAGTTAGAAAAGAATGTTGCTCCAATGAGCACAGGCCTAACTGCTTCTGAAAGAGGGGTTGGTCATATTGATGCCAGATCTGATATATTTAGAGATGATTCATTGCTATGAGTATTTCCATTACTACCAATGTCATATATATTAACCAAAATCTTTAAATTAAACTTTTGTGTAGGAGCTCACTTTCTTTGTTATGCAGAACCTCTTTTCAGAAAGGTTTCTGCAGTATGAAATATATTGCTTTTCATGTATACTAATACTAGATTTTTCGTAACTGATGATGTATTCCTAGATGCTTTAATGATATGGGAGCAAGACTTTGAAGTTGCTCAACATCAATCTGCAGATTTAAATTAGTTTTTAGAACTTGAAGAGCTTTTGGTGAAAGAAAAATAAGGTAACAATGCATCAGAAGAAAATAACATTATGCAATTTCGTTAATTGTTTATGTTTTATAATTTTCACAACTAAAGATTCCTTCCGCAGTTTCGTCTTTGGAGCAAATTACTAATTGTGCTAAAGGAAAGAGAATGAGTTTATGCTATACACAAAGCCAATATTATGCAAAAGACTGATGGTCTTTTCCTGAAGGTCTATTATAGAAAATGGCTATAAATATTCGGTCTCTAATTATATTCTTGAATACTAATATTGTTATTTTATTTTGGATTATTTTTAGTGTTGTCGTGAGGTTGCTGAAAAATATTCAGAGATAACGTATGAGGAGGTCACCATTGACAATTGTTGCATGATGGTAATATTGGACAAATTGATGTAGGGAATACAACCACATTTTGAAATTCTGTCTATCTGAAAATAGTATTGTTACTTTTTGGAGCATCTGCAACTTGTGAAAAATCCTGCACTTTTTGATGTGTTGGTGATGCCTAATCTTTATGGTGACATAATCAGTGACCTTTGCGATGGCTTGATTGAAGGATTAGGCTTGACATCCATATTTTTCTTTATTTTGTTTCGAGTTTTGGGTAAAGAGGTTTAGTAGTGACAAATCACCTGACAGGATATCCTGTATTTTGCAGCTGCAACATTGGCGAGGGAGGTATTGCACTTGTTGAGGTTATACATGGTTCAGTACCTGATATTGCCGGGAAGGTGAGCCGTGGGTGAACTTTTTAAAGCCATATATTTTCATTCAGTTGCAACCATCCTCAATTACCTCACTAAGGCTCATATTGTCCCATAGGTACACCAGTAGTGCGTCGCCTGAGGAATTATGTGAGGTGGGATAAATTTTTCAGCAATGTAGTTGATATGTTTACACCTATGGAAAAAAGAAAATCACTGAGGAAGCACACATATGTAATGTGTTTTCAGTATGCTGCTTTCTTTATGTTGTTATCTGATGTTCAACCGAGAGGATTGTTCCATATATATTTTTTATTCACCTGAGCCAATTGTATGCCTTTTAGAATTGGAATATTTAATTTTTGAAGAGATGACAATTGTATTTTTCATAACTATCTTTTCAGCTATTTTGGTTATCCAGAAACTCTAACTATTTATCCATTTCAATTATCTTTGTGGTTATGAGATAGTTCTGCAGAATGTATGAAAAGTTGATAAGGATGGAATCGAGGCAGACACAAATCTTGTCCCAGTAAGTTAGAATTACCTTTTTTTCAGTGTTGTCAAATAACAACTATTACTATTTTGCGATACGAGATTTTGTATAAAGTGTTGTCGAATAGCGGTATGACATTAGTTTAGCATAACTCGAGCATCCTGCTATTTTCAGCAACCCGTTGACAAAACTGTCTTTTCCATTTTTGAATAATCATTTGATTTATCTAGCTGATGTCTTCAAATTTGTTACAAATACTATAATACCTTCTACTTTTTCATGTATTTATTTCCTTTTCTTCATTTTGGCAATGCCAGAGTTTTGTACCGAGATCGATGGCAAGGATTTTAGTAAATTTTATGGCTTTGAGTGCATTGCTTTTTGTATTCAAGTCTATCCTCTCCACAGTTTTCTTCATATCGGTAAGTCATCCACTTTACTAATCAAATTAAAATTTCAGATTATTGAATGTTTCCCAATGATTATAGTTGTACTAAGCTATAAACTTCATTGCTATGTTTTAGGCTATGATACGACTTGCATACTTTGCATACCTAGCATTCAATAAAGATCAAGGACCATTTAGCGGGAATGGAGGAACTACAACAAAACATATGAATTATCTCGTGGAAGAAACTCAAAAAATAATGGACAGATACAACTAGCTTCATCATTAGAGTACTAGAGGAAGATAGCTTGCCAAACTCTATAAATTTCTTAGTCATTTGAATTATCTATTTTAATTATATATAGTTTGATGTTGCAGTTATAGTAGAATGGAAGTGAGAGTTTGGTTTGAACAATCCAATTAAGTTTGTTCTTTAATTTCATTTGGTATAAATTTATGCATACCTTTTGTAGTTTTTTGCATAAACAATTCAACTCCTTTTTGATGTTCATTTTTATCATTTAATTTGACACTTTGCATATATTAAATAGACACTTGTTGCGATTAAGAGTCTCTTGCAACTAAAGACTATTGAAGTCGAATGTCCTTTTATTATGTTTGTCCTCTAATTTTATTATATTGGTGGCTTGGTAGAAATGGTACATTCTCTTCTGCTGATTTATAACATGTTTTGCATGTTGCTGTCTAATCTGAACTTTCCAACATGTAGCACACATCACAGGTTTATTATGTCACTCTGTCTTTATATCACTTCATAAATTACTAGGTAGAAATAATGCAGTCTCTTCTGCTGAATTGTGTCTTCTTGGATGCTCTATAATTACTCTAATCAGAATTTTCCAATTTGTAGCACATATTTCAGTTCTTAAGTTATCTTTCTGCTTTTGTTTTCTTGAGTGCTATAAAAAACCACTAATCACATATAAACCATTGTGTAGCACATGTTATAGGTTAACGTTTTCAATTTTGACAGTGTGAGTATATGAGAAACCTTCTAATATTAAACTCCTACGTTTTTGTGTTTGGTTGTTCCTTGGTTGCTTGAGATGTCTTTGTTAAACTTTCACGCACTATCATTTTTGAAGAAATAATACAAATGTCACCATGCAAATGTAAATCATTTTTTCAAGGTCAAAATAATGTTTCCTCTTTTCTAATTAGAACATTTCTCTAATTCTCATTTCATTTATCATGCTTGTAGGTTATGTAATTTTTGTATTATTAGAATCAAAGATTTATTATTAGTTTTTTAATTCTATGTTGGACAGTGTTAAACACTGTCAATATATTTTAAAACAATTGAATATTTTCACAATTAATACTGTAAAATTATGATCATTTTGATTTTGTTATTTCTATTTAAAAATGCTCTTATATTAAAGAATTAACTTTTCCGCGTGTCCCGTGCGGACGCACGGGTCTTCTACTCGTTATTGTAAATTGATGATCCACAAACGTTTTGTATAGATATATATTGTAAGAATAATGAGAATTATAGATAAGGTTTTGTGGGAGTAAGAAGTCTAAAAGGGGGTGTTTCGTAATATTTTGGAAGGCCCGTTTAAATGCAGCCAGGCCCGTTTAGATTTTTGATTCATATGTCATTGCATTAGGTTTTCTTTTTCCCTCTCTCCATTTCACCGGTGGCTCTCCGGTCCGTCGTTCCAGTTCCTCCGTCGTTCGCGTTCCTCCGTCTGTTGAACTCTGTCTGTGAGTATTTTTTCAATTTCCAGTTTTGACCTTATTCATTAGACATGAGTGTCAGTTAGCGGGGAAACATGGCAGTGAAGGGTTCTGAATTTATCATGCTTTGTTTCTGAATAAATTCCTCTCTGAAAATGGCAGTGAGAGGATAACTTTTGATTTGATTTGATTTGATTTTGTAAGCTATGTAATTTTTAATTGGGTTTTTATTAGCTTTGATTGTTGAGTTATCCACAAACGTAATTGCTCATTTGTAAGGGTTATTATTTATGCCTCTGGTTCTACCTCCCTGACATAAAAAAAATATGAATTCCATTTGGGTATGAACTTGCATTTTAATGTTGTGGAATGCCCGGTTAGCTCGCAGTTAGGGCTTTCACATTTATGAACTGCCCGGGACCTTCATATAACGGTCCTTAGTCGGAATGCTTAAACGAGCAGGATAGCTTGTGTTCCTAGCTCTACTTTCTATTTGAGCGAGCATAATCACATTGCTCATTATCCAGTGTCATCATTCTCGTAGTAACTATCGGTTTCTTTTTGACAACATAGGGAGATGGTGAGACTCACTGCTGACCTGATCTGGAAAAGCCCTCATTTCTTCAATACCATTAAGGAGCGTGAGTTAGATCTTCGAGGTATTTCTATTTCCCTCATGTTTTCAATCACTTTTGCTGCTTTTCCTTTGACAAACAAATATATGTTCTCTCTTCTCTTGTAAGAGCAAGCTTGTCATTTTGTTTGCAGGCAACAAAATATCTGTAATCGAAAACATAGGTGCCACCGAGGTTTGCAAACTTATTTTCTTGCATTCATTTTAACTACTTCTGTTGTTGTGCTTTCTTTTGTTTTGATAGGGTTTGTCTAGTCTTGATGGGCTTACTTGGTGTTCATGAATTTGAGTTCTTTTGCAATGGATTCCTTGCAGGACCAATTTGACACCATAGATTTGTCTGACAATGAGATTGTCAAACTAGAAAACTTACCATTTCTTAATCGATTGGGTACACTACTTATCAATAACAACAGGATTACTAGAATTAATCCAAATATTGGAGGTATGCTTTGAACCTTGATTATAATTTATATCTCATCATTTCTCTTTATCCCATCTTGCTTCTAGCTGTAAGCAACAAAATGTGTAACTCTACCTTTCTATGCTATTTGTATTTCAGAGTTTCTACCGAATTTACACACACTAGTTCTCACAAACAACAGGATTGTAAACTTAGTAGAAATTGATCCTTTGACATCCCTTTCAAAGCTGCAGTTCCTTAGTCTTCTAGACAACAATATTACTAAAAAAGTGAATTATAGGCTTTATGTTATCCACAAGCTGAAGTCCCTCCGAGTTTTGGACTTCAAGAAAGTGAAGAATAAGGTAAGGTGTTCTTTGTCACTACCCATATTTATATTTTCTTTGGCTTGTTGTTTGAAATATCATATATAGAATGTTCTGAAAATTAATTTGAATGAATATATTTTCATTTTAAAACATACCCTTGACTCTTAATACCAAGACCAAGTTGTGGAAATTTTACTGCAGATATTCTTCTTCATCTGTATTTCATTTGTTTGATAGTTTTTAAAAATTTAATAGGAACGATTAGAAGCAAAAAATTTGTTTGAATCAAAGGAAGTTATAGAAGAAGCTCAAAGGACACCAGCGAAACCGGTTTCACCTGTTGAAACTAAAGATGTTTCAGAAGCTACAGAGGAACAACAGACACCCAAAGTGACAGCTCCTACTCCAGAGCAAATTATTGCTATTAAGGTATAATTAATAGTGATTTTGTAAAAAGGTTTATCGTATCACTAAATGGGTTGACTATGTGCCGCACACATGTGTTCAATTCAAAATTCAGATCTATAATTTTTGTTTTTCCTTTTTTCATGTATTGTGCACGTAGCTTAAAAATTGTAGACTTGTAGTAGATGGGGAGATTCCCTGCTCGTTTTAAGCCTTTAACCCATAACTTCATGGAAAACCATTAAAAATTGCTCTAAATTATAGCAACACTTTGTGATATAACAAACAATCTATGTAGCTGAGATATGTACAGCACATATACAATGATATAGGAAATTTTTGCATAAAAAACTAGTCACTAGTGTTGTTAAATGTTGGCCATGGTGCTGCCATTCTGCCACGACGTAGTGGATTTTTGGCCAACCGCCAAAGGGAATTTGTTAAGGGATGCCTGCCATGGCCTGTGGCAGAGCCATATGCTGCAATGGCATGTACCGCCATTAATAACTCTTGCAGTCACCTGGTATCTATGAAGCACGGACTCCGATACGAACATCGGAACACGGCACGGACACTCTGACACCGATAATGTTAAAATATAGGACACTGACACCGCTATATATAAGAGAGTATTTGAGCTTTATTTATCCATCTATGATTAAAAAGAATTAGAAATATTCTAATCAAAATTAATGTCTTTAATTCTTTATTGATAACATAGCTTAAAAATACGTTTAACAATTTTAAATTTGTGAGATTTGTCCAAAATATGTATAAAAGTGTGTTGAAGCATAGAAAAAAACAAATTTTTGTTTGAAACACTTCTCTAAATTGTCTGACATGTGTTATGAGTGTCATACAAATGTCAACCATTGATTCAAAGAGTGTCGAAACAAAGAAAAAAAATCAATTTTTAGTGGACACTCGTCTGACTTTTCCGACACTTCTATGACTTTTTCGACACGTGTCATACGCGTGTCGGACACTGCGACACGCCTACTCCTAGAGGTGTCCGTGCTTCATAGCCTGGTATAACAACAATAAAGAGGAGTCTAAACTATATCTTGTGATCTTACTGACAATATTACCACATCTCATTTGTTGTGTGAAACCAATCAAATACCAGCATCCATGCAAGGCTTGGCCTGAAGCAACTATTCTTCCACTTTAGTTCTTGCAATTCTTCTACTCTTAAATCTTGCAACTCTAATTCATGTTAAAGATGAATAGAACTATAGTTATTCATTATTCATCAACCATTAAAAAAAACATCCGTTCAGTGTTGGTCTTACTGAGTTCCTTTTTTGTAAATGTCATGGATCTCCATTAAACTAATGATGATTTATGCCTTCTGTTTGTCAATTAAGATACTTTGCAAGAGCTTTATATTATTATATGCATTTGATGGTGGCTTATTTTGAAAGTGTAACTCATTATCCTATAAGTTAGATTTATGCTGTAAGATGCATGTGCTTTCTGTTTCAACAACACGTATCATTAAGACTTTATTGGTTAGCAGTGAAAGACCAATATTTGAAAGAAAACCGAGAGGGAGTATCAAGAGAGAGAAAAATAGAGAAAACTGATAATTTGTGAACCTGAAATTAAAGTTTTATTTATTTGAGAAAGTTATTGGTTTCAGCTGTGATGAGATAATTAGAGACTCAAACAATCGAGACAACTGTTACTTTCTTTTTTTAGCTAAGTACCAATCTAACCAATATGAAAGCTATAATCTAGGATGGCCGAGTCAGCCATACACAGTATATAAATATGTGTCAATATACATTAAACAGTTTTCTATTGAAATTATCTTACATGCCTGTTTGATACTTTCTTGAGCTAAGGAATCACCTTATTCTGGATTATATCATATGGCCATCTTTCTGAGTTACAATCTCTTAGAGGCTGGTACATCAAACAGCTATTTGTGGATTACCCGGGTGGTTTACATGTTTCTTCTGTGTGCAGGCTGCTATTGTCAACTCACAGACTCTTGAAGAGGTTGCTAGACTTGAAAAGGTACTTGCTTTTCTAAATTTGATAATCATTTATTCCTGTGAAAATGTGTATCAGTGGAACTCATAAACATAATCTCAGTTTTTCTGTCAGCGTAGGTTAGCTTAGATTATGTAAACTGGATTTTTTTGCCATACTGGGAGGATGGGATATGGTCAGTCATACATTTATCTGGTCGTTTGGGAGATACAGGGGAAATTTTGAAATTCTTGCTACTAGTGTGTCTTGTGATCCTTGTCATGACATTTGCTCTGCTATTTTATTGTATCTTTCTAATATAAATTTCTTATATACAAAAATAACCAATTGTATGTCATCTAATCGGGTTTCATGTTAACAGGCACTGAAGTCTGGGCAACTTCCTGCAGATCTAAAAAGCTTGACTGATAATATGATAACTGATAATGTCAATGAAAAACATGAAGATGTAGTTCTGTCTGAATCTAATGATACACAAGAGCAAGGAAATACTGATAATACTCAAATGGAAGAGGTTTGTCCACTCTTGTATCTTTTAAGATTTTCTGTGTATCTCATATAAATTGATCATCATTCTGTTTAGTTCCAGTCATCTACTATACTATAATTGTGTTTTCATCAACTTGTATTTTAAACGTGATAGCAGCTGGTTCATAACATACCAATCACTGTTTTATCATAGTTTTAACCAATGATGATAAAAATGAATTCAAATGATTATGTTTGTACCACAATTTCTGGCTAGTCCGAGCACCCACCTGTTTGAAATTCTTGTCAATCATCATTTCTTCGTCTTGTGCGGCTGCTGTTTTGACACTTGGAGCTGATGAGGGTGAGGCTGTGAAATGATCGTCCGCACACCCACCTGTTTGAAATTCTTGGCAATCATCATTTCTTCGTCTTGTGCGGCTGTGGTTGACACTTGGAGCTGATGAGGGTGAGGCTGTGAAATGATCGTCGGTGCACGAGGATAGATTGAGAGCGACTCATAACAGTTTGTCTTACTAAGTTCATGGAATTATATTGTTGGTGTGATCCCAATATACTGACCAAATTACTCCAATAGCCTGATCTAATGGACTGACCAACTTACTCCAAATAACCTGATCTGATGGACTAACCAAATTACTCCAATATTAAATACTGGCTGGGCTAACAAAATTTAAGTAGGAAACCATTTCGGCCCAACCTGGCTCAACATGGCTGACTTGTGATATGCCGGGACAGCCTAAAAGATTTCTTAACAGTCTGGTAAGTCTTGAAATACTATGTACTAACATAAATAGAGAAGAATCAATTAAAATCATGGATTCTAGTTTACAATCTGGTATTTCATGATGTACCATATTGTTAACAGACTTTTTAGGTTAGGCCATATTCTAGTTAAGGAAATCGTGGTAGTATGCATGTGGATTGAAGTGCCTCTCTCTGGTAGGAGTTGATTAAGTATTTGTTAGAAATAAAAATGTAATTGCAGAAACAAATATAAAATTCTTTAGTACTTTATCCTAGATTCTTCCTATTCACATCCTTGGCCAGGAGGAAAAGAACAACAGGCGTTGTAATTGGGAATGAGATCCATCATAGATCGGATTAACTAACTGAGGAGAATAAATGCGACAAGATATGGTCATACATGATTAGATATGAACTGTTTATGTTCATTCATGCTCTGCTTTTTTTGCATTCTCATCATATCCTTCTTTTGGTAATAATGTGTGTTTCATTACATTTTTTTTTGTAGGATTAGACAGAAGTATGGAGCACTCAGAATCTTGTTTGTATTTCATGAAGTGTACCTTTCCCCGGGGTTTTCATTTTCCCTCTTGGTGAATGGCTGCTGTGTTAGTGTTTACATATGTATCATTTGGATGTAGACGATTGACTGAATCATTAGGGCCTTTTTTTGTCCTTAACCATGAATTTTTAGTGTACTCTATAAGTATATTTTACCTTTCTGTGACACTCTCATCAGTGTCTATAAATATTAAGCGGAAAAATTGTTTAAATACATTTGAATTTAGTACCACAATGTCATTTATATGCTTGCATCCATGTTCTTCATATAATGGGATGCAGCATTGGTCCTTCTGTTTTTACTCTATGATATGAATAGAAATTTGTAATTGGCATCAACATGATAAAAGCATAATAATAGAATTAGGGGGTGTAGATAGGATAGCTTGTAAAGTTTGTTAATGTTTCATTCTCATGTATTAATGTTTTTATGAATTTGGAGAATTCCTAATAGATGTTAATTATGGATGCAATCATTGAGTGGTATGAAAATGATGAAGTGTAATTAGAATTATTAGAACTAGCGTTCAGACATATAAATATAAATGATATATTTTTATTTAATATTAATTTTACATGGAAGTTATTAGTAGAGAGTTATATGAAAGATGATAGTAGTAGTTCAATGGAAGTTATTATGTAAGTTATATATTTTAAAATAAGGATAAATTTGGTATAAAAAAAAGCACACCAAAAACCAAGTATTGCTTTTATATATGTCGTAGATTATAGATTACAACAATCACATTTTTAAATGTTCAGAATGTAGAAAAAAGGATGTTAAAATTACATTAAAAGACCACGATGTTAAAAAAAAGTCTTAAAATGACCAATCTGTAAAAAAATATAACGTAAAGGATTTCTCATATAATTTTGCCCATAAATTTTATTTAAATATTTTTATTTTTGGAAATTTAATTTTCACATAAAATTTTCATTTATTTTACTTATATTGTGGAAATCTTACATTTATTTTACTTATTTTATATTTAAATTAAATAAATTTTGTAACTATTCATTAAAAATTAATTAATGTTGAATGTTTGGTCTAACTTTTACAAATATATAATATGTCTTGTCTTTTATAAATAGATACTTTCTTTTCTATCAATGCAGTCTTCAATACTTGAAAACAACTAGGCCAGTCCATTTTATTTAAAGCTTTAGTTTTGTTTGGAATTGTGGAGAAAAAGAATGGAGGACATTAAAAAGAAAAGGAGGAAGTTTAAAGCTTTAGTTTTGTTTGGGAGTGTGGAGAAAAAGAATGGAGGACATTAAAAAGAAAAGGAGGAAGTTAAAGCTTTAGTTTTGTTTGGGAGTGTGGAGAAAAAGAATGGAGGACATTAAAAAGAAAAGGAGAAAGGATGAAGTAGCATGAAATGAATAATTACTAATTAGAGTGGAAAGAATAATAAGTTTATTTTTATTTGCAACACAATATTTTAAGTTTTGGAGGACTTAAAAACTATATTAAAAGACGGTTTTGAATATTTTAAAAATTAAAAATATATTAAAGATATTTATCGTTTTAAATAAAAATCACAACTTAAAAAATGTTTTAAATTTTTTTTTTCTTCTTCAAACCCTCCCATCCTCTATTCTTTTCCCTCAAAACATGCACGTAAAACCCGAGTGAAATTCAACCCAAATCAAATTTCATAGAAAAAGACATACTATTTTACCATCATATAGAAATAGTGCATGGCTTATATGCGAACTTGTGTCATCGACTTAATCTCATTAATAATGCGAGCATCTTATTGGAGCCTACTTCTCTGAAAAACTGTTTTATAGTTTTTAAAAATTAAAAAACAAAATACTTATTTTATGAACTTGTTTCTCAAAATTATTTTTGAAAATACTTTTGAAATTGATTGTTTTAAAATCGAAAAAACCGAAACAGTCAATGCATGTTCCATTTTACTTTTCAAATGAGGTAAGTGAAACAACACTGAAAACATACTCTTTTCATTAATGGCAGTATGGTAATTAATTGAAAATTTGATATCACTGTTATGTTTTTAAATTACCCGCTGTTCATATTTTCAATTATTTTGATTTTGACTTATTAAAGAGCTCCCATTACTTTACATGAATTTTAATAGAACTAAGGAAATTAATCGTGCATTAGTTTTTTTTCTGCTATTATTGATTTTGAAAATTTGTTTAATAAAATATTTATTTCAACTTTTTTTAATATACAAATATTTAAAATTGATTTTTTTTGGTTAATTACATTTTTATACATTTTTTGATAATTATCTTAAAAATTGTTTAAAAGATATTCAAAAATTTAGACCAAAAATCACATCCATTTAATCGTGGCTCATATACATGGAAACCTTATTGATCATGGTGGATTTTTTATTCCAACCGGTTTTTTATTTTTCTTTCAAAAATAAGAGCTAGGATATCCCAAGTGATTTTTTAAAATAAATTATATTTAATTAATCAAATATAACAATCACATTATTCAATCATTTAAAATATACTCCTATTTATTTTAAAGACAACTAAGAATCAACATATTATTGTTTATAAAAAAAATAATCAACATATTAATATGAATATTATACTATTAACATTGTTTAAACTTTATTGTAAAATATTATCAAACAAACTATTTTATTCCATTTCTAAAAACAGTTTTTACAAATTATTCTACCAAACATAATTTTTTAGTTTTTAATTTTTAAAACTGTTTTCAAAAATTACTTTTTTTTTTTTTTGAAAACAATTATTTTTAGATTTTAAGAACCAAAAATCAAAAGTGATTCAAACAAGCCCTACATCTCCAATTTTGAAGGATTTCCCCCAATAGAATTGCATAGCTTGTTCCTCACTCTTGGTCACATTGGTAATAATATCATTCCCTTATAAGATAAGGAAGTTAAGCTAGTTTGGAAACACTCCACTTCAAGAGTACTTACTGCTTACTCTTCTTGATGCTTATTCTTTCTTGTGCAGCCCACTTCATGGAACACTGCCATTCCTCCTTCACACTCCACTATAATTGGAGAATCATCCACGACAGAATGCCTACAAATGACAATTTAACAGCTCGGGGATGTAATCTTCCCTCAATGTGCACTCTTTTGTAATAGGTCAGGATGAGAATGCTATATTTAGAGACACGTTTTTAATTCGATGACAATGGAAAAATATCACATTTTCAAAACATGAAAATGTGTATGCAGTTGGAAAGAGTAGAAGCTAAGGTATTGTAAATGCTTTAAAATTTGAGTTTAATTTACATGCCAATCATTATAAACTTATCTCTAATACTAGGTCAATTTTTTAAAAACATTTGACTTTTATCATAGCTATTTTTAAAGTCACATTGTGTTTTGCTAAAAGTGTAAAAATTATACCGACTCAAAACAAAAGATATCCTCCATTATATATGACATGTTTATAAACTATTTTTAACTTCAATAAAATCTCAAAGATAACTTATAAAAACTAGTTTAATCATATTTTCTCTTTAACTATAGAATCAACTGATACATAAACACGTAATTATGTTGTTTACTTGAACAAATACTAAATATTTTATTCCATATTCACGAATCATATTATTCTTTTACAAAGCCAGCATGAATTCAAAACATATGGGCACCACCTTGTAGTCAACTTACGGTTAAAGAGGATATTCCCTTTAACAATAAATAAAAGCATGATGAAATGGTTCTTTTCCACACCAATATAAGGCATAGGCCACCCTAACTTTGAAAACATAAAGCCATGATTCTAAGTGACCAACAAAAAAACATGCTTCAAATAAGCATTTGAATTAGTCCAAAACAAAAGATATGGCTTCTAGTTTTTCACAACAGTACTTGCTGAGAGTATACCGAACAAAAATATGGATGCTTATACGCCACTGGTTTTATCTTCATGATACATGTATAAGCCAAGACCAAACCGAGCGCATGCTTTACAGAAAGCATTTTCCTCTGCTGATGAAACTGGATCAGTAATGGAGGCATCAGTAGTTGATATTGTCCCGGTTGACTCGCGATAAGCCTGTCATCAACAAAGAAAAGTAAGGTCATTTTACAATTTCAACTAGCAGAGTAACAATGCCTTCCAAAGGCTACTTTCGTCCCCAAGTAGGTTATAAAAAGAGTAGATTGATATATAGAATGAAACATTGAAATAGAATCAAAGATAACTGATAATTTTAGAGATTTTTGGGCTTGAATAATGTAGAAGGTAGTGCACTAATGACTTTAAATAATTCTGAGTCTGAATGCAAATTTAGAGAACAAGTATAAACATACCAAACTTTTGATTAAGATTAGTGGCATATATAAAAGGCGATACAATGTGAGAAGCATAGCAGAGTGCCTATATCGTACTGGGCTTTTACATATTCAGGTCAATGTAACAAAAATATAGAACCTTTAAATCAGAATAATGGTTTGTTCAGAAGATTACATATCGTCTGATAAGTTCAGCCAGTGCAAATTTTAGATCACCATAATGTTCAAACCCCAATTTGCACAGAATCTATTTTTGAAGGAAAAAGGATAGAAGAGTAGAGGTGGCAAATATGAATGAATGCATTAGAAGTACAAGAAGAAGTTTTTGTATAGTTCATTTTATAATATCAATTAGTATATTATCAGTGACTTCGCACAAGCCACATTCGTGTTCAAATATGTTCTGAAAGAGTTGATATATAGAATCAGTGTTGTCCATGGCGGATGGCGGTCCATGATGGAGAGCCAAAAATCCTGCCATACCGGATGCTTTGTGGCGCCATTATAGCGGTTTATGGTGGAATAACCCGAAATATCAGCCGATATTTACCATTGCGGCGCGCCAAAAAACCACCATGTATATTCCGCCATAGCAGATGCTTTGTGGCGCCGTCGTAGCGGTTTATGGTGGAATAACCCGAAATATCAGCCGATATTTACCATTGCGGCGCGTCCAAAAATCACCATGTATATCCGCCATAGCGCCACAATTGCGGATATTTGATAACTCTGTATAGAATACAACATTGACTTAGAATCTACCTAGTTGATAACCTATGAGGTTTTTGGGCTTGAAGGGTGCATAAAAATCTGAATTTGAATTTAGACTTAGTGTACAAGTATGGACATAACAATGTTTTGATAAGGTTTGTTGCACATACAATATGAGAAGCATAACAGCTAGCAGGCAAGATGATATTGAATATAATAAGAGAAGTTTTAAATCAAAATGATGGGTCATTAGAAGAATACATGTTCTCCAGCAATAAGTTGAGGCAATGCAAGTTAAATATGTTAAGCAAAAAGGACAAAAGAACAACAATAGATCAATGTTGTTAAATAGTGGTGCTAAACTGATATACGTAGCAGAATTTGGACAAAGCACTATTGTCCCACGATATCTATTTAGTAAAAAAATAGTGTAAATAGCTGTTATCTAAGTTGTTAATCCAAGATGACCGCTATTGTAAAGACTAAAAAACAATGTACATGGCAAACATAAATTCCAACAACACAATAAATTTAAAAATCGAGGTTGCAACATCACATATTCCATCAAAATGAGCTCTCATCAAAATCAATTTATAAAAATATTCATGCACAACATTATCATCCTCCACATTGATATTAACCCAAGACATCAATGCATCAGTAGTAGAGGAGAACACTAAAGAAATAGATGAAACAACAAAGAATGCAGAAGACACGGTGGAAGACATTGCAGTGGTGAACAATGCATAGAAAGGAAAAAGAAAACAGTAAAACTAAAGAAGCATAACATGTGGGGGTTAAATATTAGACCAATAACAGAGAGGGAAAGGCCAACATACCCTTAAAAAAATAAAAAAATAAAGTTTCAAAATATTAGGGCTAACGATTTTGCTCCAAATTGAGAATATCAGCCATCAAACTGTGATGGCACTGCTATTGCGCTGCCATAGTGCTTTTTAGCGTCCGCTATGACCGCATTCGTCAATAGCACTTTTTAGAGCAATAGAGTAGCGATGAGGAGCCGAGCCACTACGCTATGTCGCTATAGTGGTGCTATAGCACCAATCTGGTAGTTTTCAGCAATCCATAATTGAACTGAGCAAATATGAATGAAAAGAGGAGTGAGAGGAGTGAGCAGACATACCTCTCCATCAGATCCACGCACAGTCAGCCGGTACACAACAGTTACAGTTCCATTATCAGAGAAAATAACATCACGTATCTCTCCACACCATCCTGCAACAAAAAAAAATCTAAATTCAAAAATTCTGTTTCAATTTAGTCCTATCTTAACCTATCCACATGGAGTTCAAAAGAAAATACTGACGCACCTGGAGCATAGAAGCTCAACATCCTATTGGCATGATACCTACGATTACGAATGGGTAGAATCATAATCAATCGTTTTAACGATAATTAAGCAATTGAATTAAGAGTATATTGTTTAAACTGCATTACCAGGGGATGAAGGTGGGTGAAGATGGATCGTGAGGTGGTTTAACGATAGTATCAGGAATTCTTTTGTTGAGGTCTCTGAGAATTTCAGCTAAAGGACGAGTTATGGTTGAGGATGAATTTGAGAACGAAAGGGAATCGTCAATAGGTACAACGTAATTGGAATTGGATACAACGCTGGCTTTCTTTCCATCGCTGCGTTCGAACGAACACCTGAGAACTCCGATGCTCGTTCTTCTGGTAAACCCTAGTGATGGTTCGATAGAACCGTTTTTGGTGGTGGTGAGGTTAGAGAACGAAGTGAAGGGAGTCGTCTTGCAGATTGAAAACGCCATGAAGTAAGGGATCAAGTTTTAAGATCCCTAATTCTGAAACTTGTGGTGCAAGAGGAGGGAGAAAGAAGAAGAAGAAAAAAGACTTTGGTTTGGTGAGAAAGAGTTGAATGAATAAGACTCGGGTCTGTGGTTGGTAGGGAGAGAGGCACAATAGTATCAAAGGGGGTGTAGATACTATAATCACAACAAAGGGTGCAAGCCCACCAGGCATCATCAAATATTAACAACTTTTTATTTATTTTTATTTCATTTTTTCTCGATAGATAGATAGATAATAAAAATTATAGATCTAACTATAAGTACTTCCATCACTATTCCGTATGTCTCAAAATGTAATAATATTTACTATTTCACACGAATTAAAAAATATATTTAATTTTGTACGAAAAATAGAAATTATAATAAATTTCACAATAATATCTTTTGTTAATAAGACAAGAATTAAAAGAATTAAAATAGTAAATATTAATAAATAATATTAACAAGAAGAATCAATAATATTTCAACGAATTTGTAACATGACTTATATAGTTTTGAATAAAATTTTTTTAAAAAATGATTTATAATTTAAAACAAATAAAATATTATATTTTATTAATAACTATTTCAGTCAACAAATAGTCACGTGTTTGTTGGAAATTGAAGATGAAAAAAAATGTATATACAATAGTTACACTCTTTTTCTCAATAAAACCTGTTTTCAAAACAAAACAAAAAACAATGACAAATTTTCTAATCTAAATGGTATAATATCTCATAGTTGTTGTAGTTAGTCAACGTGAAGTCAATTGACTTTCGTCATTGATTATTATATATATTTTATTGATAAATTAATTTTCTAATCTAAACTGTAGCGTGTTGGATAAAGAGAAAGAGTTAGTCAATGGCATATAAGACCATTTACAATGGTTTACAAACTCAACACCCATTTTTTCAACTCCCAACACTCCACGTCATTTTCTCTTTCTTCCACCTAATAACTCAACACCCATTCAACTTTTACCCTCTCCAATGGTTTTTCACTCAACACCCTACCCCACCACTTTTTATTTTCATATTCTTATTTAAATTTTATTTTTATTTTTATGATTACATAAAATTACAATTATCGATTAAAATTAAATTAAAATAATAAATACTTAATAATTTATTTTTTAATTTTTTGTAATAAAAACAAAATTTATTGGGATCCATTTCACTAAAAAAAGACACTTAACTTCAAAATAAACACTAATAATAAAATTAAGATAGTGAAAAACTTAGTTTTTTTTTCTGTGTCCAAATCAAATGAACCAAGTCTCTATTTATAGAGAGAAAAAAATCATGAATTTTGGTAAAAAAAAAAAAAAATTAATTTGCAACGAAATAATTGAGTTCAAAGTATTAAATGGATAAAAATCTGGTCAGCCAATCAAACACAGCCACGTGGCAGATTAAATGGTGTTGAGTTTTCTCAACATCTCTCTCCTCCAACACACACTCAATACTACATTACACACTCATTGCACATGATTTTGTGGTGTTGACTTTAAATAAATCTATCATTGTAAATGGTCTAATGAACGATTATAGTGGGCATTAACTTCAAGCATTAATAGCATTAGGGCAATCAAAAGTGGTTAATAGTAGACGAATTTGTGAGAAAGTAGTAGTATTTGTTAGCTCTTCTTCATCCTCCAAGCATGGCTCGATTAGAAAGGAACTTCAAGTGGTGTACGATATTACAAGAAGATCTTCGATGCATGTTTTTTTTTTGAGTCGTGCATACAATTGTTTTTAAATGCATGTTTTTTTCCAAATCCTGTGATGCGGGCTAAAAGAGAAAGAGTTAATTGATAAAAAATTTCAATGTCTCTGTGAGATGTTGAATCGAATTCTAGTATGATCGAAGGGTAGTTTCTGGTTCGACAGAAATTAAGTATGAGGTCGAAGTATATTCGCATGCTGTTGTCGAAGTAATGCGTGTTGTAGTCGAAATTTGTTCAAACATACATTAGTCAATATTGTTAGGTTTGTTAGCATGTTGAATTGGGTCTTGCTTGTAAGTTCAATTGTTTAAGTTAGCTTATACCCTAAGTTAGTTTGTAATGGGTAATTGTTAAAAAGCTCATTAGGTTAGTGTGCTATTTTTCTTATAAATAGGATGCTAGTTTCTCAATCTTAGCATAAGGAAAAATAGGAAGATAAAATTCTAGTTTTAAGAGAGAGAGGTTATTTGTTATTCTTGTATACTTGTAATCTTATTCTAAGAGTAAGAAAAGAATAGCAGTTTATAACCAATCTTTATTGTTTCTTGTTGTTTTACCTTGTTTTCTTTGTTAGCCATAACCCTTGTGTGTTTTTTGATCATAAAGAAATCTTTTATACTTTGTTTAAAGACATCCGATTTACAATAAATTGGTGCGGTGAGCGTGGAGAAGATGCCTTCAACAAAGTATGAGATTGAAAAGTTCACCAGAGTGAATGTCTTCGGTCTGTGGCGCTTGAAGATGAAAGTCCTATTGGTTCAACAGGGTTGTTTGGAAGCGTTGAAGGGAGAGGCAGTCATGGACGTTGTATTAACGACAAAAGAAAAGACAGGCATGATTAAGAAAGCACACAACACAATATTGTTGAGCCTTGGTGATAAGGTTCTTCGAAAGGTATCAAAGGAGACTACAATGTCGGGATTATGGGTGAAACTTGAAAGTTTGTACATGACCAAATCTCTGGTGAATCGACTCTACCTGAAGCAAGTTTTATATTCATTCAAGATGAGTGAAGACAAAGTGTTGGCTGAGCAGTTGGATATGTTCAATAAGCTGATTCTTGATCTTGAAAATATTGATGTGACGATGGATGATAAAGATCAAACACTGTTGTTGTTGTGTGCTTTTCCCAGAACATATGCTTACTTCAAAGAAACTTTCTTGTATGGAAGGGAGTCTCTGACCTTTGAAGAAGTTCAATCAGCCTTGTTTCTAAGAACTTGAACGAACGAAAAGAGCATAAACCTTCGACGGTGGGTGAAGGTTTGGCCGTTAAGGGAAAATTCTTGCGAAATAATGGTAAGTTCGACAAGAAGAAAGGTAAAAGTCAACAGAAATATTATAGTGGCAAAACATCTGGTATTCGATGTTATCACAATAAGAAGGGGGGTCACACAAGAAAGGAGTGCCCTGAACGCCTGAAAGATCATGAAGGTAATGACAACGCAACCATTGTTCAAGATGACTTCGGCTCATCTGATGTTCTTGTGGTTTCAAGTGGCGACTCAAGAAAATAGTGGATTATGGCTTCAGGTTGCACTTGACACATGACTCCAAACAGAGAATTGTTCGAGGTGCTATGTGATCAAGATGGTGGATCAGTGCTGCTGGGAAACAACAAATCTTACAAAATTACAGGTATTGGATATGTGAGATTCAAGCTCCATGATGAGTCAATAAGGTTATTGATTGAAGTCAGGTATGTACCTAACTTGAAGAGAAATTTGATTTCTCTTGGTGAATTCGACAGAAAGGGATACGTTTTCAAGGAGAGAAAGGTATCTTAAGAGTCATGAAGGGGTCGAAGGAAGTCTTGAGAGGCGTGAAGAAACAAGGCTTGTATACCCTTGAGGCTGAGGTTGTAAGTGGTTCGACAAATGTTGCATCCACGAAACCTATGTCAATGACAGAATTATGGACATGAGATTGAGCCATGTCAGCGAAAGAAGCCTGGTCAAATTGAGGAAGCAAAACCTGCTAGGAGGTGACAAAGTCGAAAAATTGGAGTTTTGTGAATCTTGTGTATTTGGTAAATCCTGTAGGGTGAAGTTTAACAAAAGTAAGCAAAGAACACAGGGATCCCTAAATTACATTCATGCTGATCTTTGGGACCCTGCAAGGAATCCTTCACACTCAGGTGCAAGGTATTTTCTATCCATAGTTGATGATTATTCCAGAAAGCTATGGGTATTCATTCAGAAGACGAAGGATGAAACTTTTGAGAATTTCAAAAGTTGGAAGATTCTAGTTGAAACTCAAACTGGCAGAAAGGTTAAGAGGTTGAGAACCGACAATGATCTTGAATTCTGCAACAAAGCGTTCGACAATTACTGTGTTGAGTCTGGGATTGCAAGGCATAAGACTGTAGTAGGTACTCCTCAAAAAAATGGCTTATCTGAGAGATTCAATTGAACAATCCTTGAAAGGGTTAGATGCATGTTGTTTAGTGCTAGATTGAAGAATGTGTTTTCCGCGGAGGTTGTTTTGACAACAGCTTACCTGATAAATAGATGTCCCTCGACTGCCTTGAGAATGAAGACACCTAAAGAAGTTTGGTAGAGACATCCACCTAGTCTTGGTAGAGACATCCACCTAGTCTCGGCAGACTGAGAGTATTTGGTTGTGTGGCCTATGCTCATATTAGGCAAGACAAGGTCAAACCTAGAGCTCTGAAATGTATGTTCATGGGATACCGTGAAGGAGTCAAAGCTTATAGGTTATGGTGCCTAGAGCCAGGTCACAGGAGGTGTGTCACTAGTCAAGATGTAGTTTTCAATGAAGCAGAGATGACTTTCAAGAAAACTGATGATGCTGACGAAGAACTGGTCAGCCTCCTCTGTTGGAGGGGAAGAAAGGTAAATTCTCCCCCAAAGTGATTGGACTTAGGCAATTGGACCGTTCTGGAAGCAGAAATGGATTGGGTCATGCCTAGCCATTAGGTCAGTCTGGAACAATAATAATTCTACAATAAATATCAACGAATCAAAATGGAAGATCAATATTTTTGTAAATGAAAATAATGAGACATGAATTGAATAATGGCAGTTGTAATTTAAAGAGAATATAAAAAGGAAGGCATCGTTAATTTAACCAAAAATGAGATTTGGATACAAAAAATGGACATAAGGGCAATATCAATTTAAAAAAAGAAGGTGAGCGAAACATTAAATAAACGGTTGTAACACATGATAAAATGAAGCAGCATTGAGATGTGAAAGTGAGACCCATAATGATCCTGTAATGAAAAAAAGT